ATGTTTGATTCACAAAAGAGGTTTTATTTTATTTTAATTTTACAGTTTTTTTTTCAAAGCATTGTATTGGAAGGTACAGGTATAAATAACTTTGTGATATTTGTCGCATTGTGTTTATTTGTTATTTATTGCATATTGTCAAACAAGATTCGAATTATTTCTTCTTTGCAAGTATTTCTTCGCTATAACCTTTCATAAGATATTCACATTAGATTCACAATTATTAAATTATTTTTTCTGAATTTTCCGTGTCGCTGATAAAAGCGAAATGTTGGATACATTGATTTCGTTTCAATTAGTTTTACTGCAGAAAGGACAACCTTAATGTCCTGAATAATTAAAATCTTGTTAAAAATGTCTGTAACATTTTAGTTTTATTTTTCATTTATGTATATTAATATTTGTATGTTTTCCACAATCCACAAAATACGCCAAACAGTTCTATACAGAAAGGTGCATGTGCATATACCCAAAGATACTTGATATTTCGGAATAATAAATTAAGAATCGACTTTATTTGGTTTTTAGTTATATGAATTTATGTAAAGGGAAGGGAAATAATAAACCATGGACATATATTAGCCGGTACTTGTTGTTATATTGGCTCCTTTTACAACAGATTAAACCAATTGTTATCTCATGTACGTATTCTTGATCTTAACAAAAGTGTTGCCGATAAAAAGTTTTTAAAGTGCATCATTCTATTTCAGCTCTTTCATTATTGAAATAATTAATGTAAAATACAGACTTAGTGTATTAAGAAAATCTTACAATCATGTCGTCCCATAATGGAAAATATCCACATATTTTATGTGCATAATTTTTCACAAATTTTTAACAGCTTTGCAATAACTGAAAACACATGATTTCGAAACTTAACAATAAACTTATCGAAGAAAGATAAGCTGCAGAAATATTCTTCAGTACCTTATATTAAAAATTTGACGCAATCTAATGCTTTCCTAATCGTAACTGATGTAGCGTCTTTCATTGAACTTCTGTTTCAAGGTGTATTTTTGAAACATTTTACACTCATGTCCATAAATTAAGGATAATGCAAAATCAGGCAAAGGAAGAGTTAGAAGCAAAACAAATTTGACTTATTTGTAAAGCTTATTTATTAAACAAAAGGTAAAAAGCAAAAAAAAAAAAAAAAAAAAAAAAAAAAAAGGATGCTATGTGTTTGATATTATTAAAAAAAAAAAAAAAAAAAATTAGCGATTTTTTCTCAATGGAGCAAATTACATAAAAAAGCTATTTACAAAAAACCAATATTACATGGTTGGTATGATTGTTAATACATTGTATGTCTCCCAGACGATGCAATACAGTCCGTACAACGCCTAGGCATGCTGAGTATCAAATTATCGATTCTGATCTTGGGGGATATTACACCGTTCAAAAAGCAATATTCTCCGAATTTCCGGTAGATATGTAGGAGGAGGTTGACGGGCTGCAACTCGTCGGCCAAGCATGTCCCACACGTGCTCTACTGGATTCAAGTCCGGTGAGAATGCTGGCCAGTCCGTACGGGTGATATCCTCTGATTGAAGGCATTCCCTTACGATGTTTGCACGGTGAAGACGGGCGTTGTCATAAATAAACACAAATTGTGCGCGCTATGGCGCCCCGAAACAAACGTACATGTTGTTCCAGAATGACGTCCCGATAGATTTGGCTTGTCATGGTTCCAATTTGAACATGCAGGTCAATTCTGAATCCCAGCATAATTCCACCCCAAACGAGCACTCCTGCACCACTGTAACGGTGTCGTTCAATGATGTTTTCTTGGTAGTAACGGGTACCTGAAGCTCTCCATATGAAAGTCCGGCGAGAATCAGACTGCAAGCTAAACCTGGAAAACATCACAGAAGCCCACTGTTGCGGTGTTCACAATGCATGCTCTCTACTCCAGGCTAACCGCAGGCGACAGTGAGTTGCAGTAAGTAGAACGCATCTGACAGGTCTACGAGCATATAGACCAATCTGCCCTAGGTGTCTGTACACGGTCTGCCTTGAAATTGTCGTACCAGTGGCTGAAAAGAGCTGACGAGACAGGTCTGAGGCTGTGCCCCACCTGTTTCTTTTGGCAGTAACTTCCAAATACCGGTCCTCATTCGGCGTTGTAACTCTGGGGTGACCTGTACTGTAACGTCTACTCACATTACCATCATCTTGGAATCGTTGCCAAAGCCTGGAGATGACACTCTGGGCAATTCCAAGTTCGTCTGATACCTCCAGTTGGGTACGCCCACATTCCAGACAGGCGATAATTCTACGACGTAAAAAATCATCCAAGTGCGTTCTTTGTGTCATAACTATTCGGTTATTGCACTGAAATGCTTATAAAGCGCCTGCGAACAATCTTCTTTGCCTGTATTACTTATATATCACTCTCTTACACTCTCGTCATTGTGACGTACCATCGGTGTCATCTGGTTACTTCCTGAAATTTGCATATGATTCTTGAAGATGTGTGTAGTGATTTTACAGGTTATATATTTATTTTAGAGTTCGATTTCCACGTGACTCCGAATTATCCTTAATTTATGGACATGAGTGTAGTTCGACATCCAACGCTTGTTTTGAAACACAAATTGTGAAAATTTATTTTTTAATAGAATGATTTTAGACAATATTTAAGGTATGCTAACGTAATCTATTACATATCAGCGCCATCGTTTGACGGTGAAATATAAATCATGTTTTTGCTAACTGTTAAATAGTTTCAAAAGATTATACACGTATCCTCAAAACGTTACAGTGCGCAATATTTTTAAAATTTTTTTTCATCAAATAAGTGCTTCTTTCCGTCTACTATGCATCAAGTTTAATAAGATGTAATTTTGATTAAAAAAGTATTTAAATTTAAAAATCATCAGTAATTAAAGAATTCTATTAAACAATGATCAACAATTTCCAGTTGTTTCTGTACGTAGTTCATATACGATTTTCGTTTCGGAACAATCTACTGATCTTTCAGTACTTTCAGTTCGTCTTTCTTTGAATAACTCGGAAAAAACTTAGAAATTCAGAATCTCAGAAAAGTATTCTTCCTGTAAGCCTGTCTGTCGTTGTAGTGAATACAATGGTGCTACGAACCTATCGGTTACGTTAACTATATTTGTAAGGATCTTAAGTTTTACTAACGTTTATTTTTATTTTAAATCTTTACTATCACTTCTTATTTTCTACTGCCGGCCAGAATTAAAAGCTTTAACTTATTTATGCAAATTTGTCTGGCGAACGCCAAGTACTTAAGTTGTGGCTTTTTGCCAAGCGAGAGAGAGGAAGGAGTTAGTCGAAGCAGGCCGCTTTCCTTAGCAAGTTTTACACTCGTTGCTGGTTGCCTTCCAGGCCAGAGGTTTAATCCTCTTGATAATTTTAAACGTATTGTAGTGTTAACAGTTCTCTGTACTACATACGGCTTCCTGTTAATATAAGGCCAATCTTCCACGTAGGCCCTTGTTTATTATCCCAAGTTAAAGTTAGAATTTAGTTAAATATTTTTTATATTCTTACGTTCAGACCACAAGTAGTTGGTCTCTGTATTCCGAAGTACGGAAATTATTGTAAAGAGTGAAAAATAAAGGGTTTCGTATACCCTTCCTGTGTATCTTGTCTACTTCCCACATTTATTGAACATAGCTTTAGTAAGCTCCCTGTTCCGAGTCAGGTCTGTGCATGTTCCCAAAGAAAGTAAGACGGAACATTGAACCTGATATATTAAGCTTAAGATACAATAACACGCCGAATAAATACTAATTCAGAAGTCAAACAACAAAAATCAGCATTATATTTACAAAATTTTGTAAATATAACGCTGATTTGATATTTTGAAATTTTGAAAATATTGATATTTTTTCGAAAATCGAAATTTATCGATTTTTTTCGAAACAGAATCTGAAAATATTGAAATTTTGAAAATTTGATATTTTGAAAATCAGCGTTATATTTACAAAATTTTGTAAATATAACGCTGATTTTTGTTGTTTGACTTCTGAATTAGTATATTAAGCTTACTAATAGTATCATAATTTATCTTTGTAAATATTGTGTTTTCATATAGTGTACCGTAAGGTTTATAACTATAAGGAATTACCATGTAATTTAAAAAAAAAAAAGAAAAAATATTATGTAGTTGAGATTTGATAGTATGTTATGACTAGGATCACAGTCGTATAGTCTGCTGAAGTTGTCTAGAACAGATAATTGAGAGCTGTTAAGAATAATAATAGAAACGAATAAAAAACATTTTTCTCAATATCTATAAATCTAAAATTATGGTTCTATTATAAACAGAATTTGAGTATATCAATGTCCTCATCAACGAATGTATGTATTTATCAACGAATATGAAATTAAAAGCGACGAACTCACAAACGTTCCCGTAGTGTTAGTGAACGTAGAGTTGCAAATAATCTATAAAATACTTCTAGAAAATTATTATATATGTTTTCTTTTATGACAGTGCAAATTTTCTGACAGGAAAAAAACTGATTTCATTTCGTGAGTTTATATTAAGTTATATTGGAGATATATTTGGAATCACAGAAGTGCTTGGAATATCGTCTGCATTAAAACTATGAAACATAAGTAATTAAATTAATTACGCAACGCTTAAAAATTTGATGGAAGCTGACTAATTATAAAACATTAGTAGCTAATATAAAGTTAATGACGGCACTGTACTCAAAGTTCAGTTTTATTTGACATACTCTGATAGCCAAAGATGTCTGAACTCGTTACATTGATAACATACACTTATTATGCATTTACTTAAAGAGGAATAAAACTATATTTTCTCCAAATATACTTTAAATATTTAATTAAATACATCATATTCATAAAAATCTTTAAAATGGCCAAAATAAATAATTAAATTTCTAAAGTATAAACTCTGAGAAATTTCTTCTTTTCTGATTTATTTCTAATTTCTTTATATATTTCAAATGAAATGTAGGAAGAATCAGACAAAACTCGAATAAAAATACTTCTTATACATGCAGTACAGAATTTAATACATTCAGATCAATCTCTATACGTGTTACTGAATAAAGACAAAAAGCATTTCACAACACCAGTTTGCACTTTAGATAATGGATATACACATTTATGGCATTTACTAATACTGAGAAAATGTGAACAGGAACTCAATATAATCCACGATAAGCGGATAATTTATTGAAAGAAAAATAAATCCGTCATATCAATGAGAACACAAACTTTTTAAACGTTAGCACACGCATACTGCAGGCCATTCATAAATACCCGTCTTCAAAGTGTACTGGCAGGGTCATATTTCGTTGACCTGTTCTGCCTTTGACAAGTATAATACTATAATTATATTAACGCTAAGATGAACTCTTTTAACATTCTTTAAACATAATTTGCATAGAGAAAATACATTCGGTTTCAATATATGCTTTTGAAAATATTTACAATTTCAAATTCCAATATGCATTCGATGATTGTTATAACGACCGTTCCATTACAACGACAGATACAAAGCATCCTAAAATGATGAAAGTATATCTAAATTCATTTTTGTTATAGCAGTCACAAGATATAACCTTTTTTAACGTGTGGTCATTATAACGAGCGTCGAGTGCAACATCGTTATTCCACAGATAAGCACTTTTAATTATGTAAACTGATCAGCTATTGCTTAAAATTTGTTAAATAAATTACAAATCATAAACTTTATTCAAATTTATATCAAATTCAGTTGCAGCTTAAAATTTGTAAGGTATTATTTAATATGTAAAATTTGGACAAACTATACGTGCGTGGTAAATATAAATACGATATTTAAACAATAATATATCAGTGATGAATGTAAATAAATTTTATTAGAAATATATTATTTTTATCTAACGTACATGCTATTGAAAAATGGTACATTTATAAATTTTTATTTGCTAATTAAACAACTGCTAACGGCATATATAATAACTTAAAAAGAAATTGAAATTTTTACTGCACATACACTGGATCTGCAGTGATTAAAGCTACAACAATATATTACTTGCAAATATTTAAAACAAAACTTAGTTCTAAGCATTTGTTGAAACCAAATTTTTTTCAAAAGTAATGTTTTTTGTATTATTGGACTTTACTCCAGGATTACACGTAGATAAATAAGAGATTTATAAGATAAATTATTCTGCAAAAGATTTCTACCTAAAATTATTTATAAACAAAATCTTAACTACAGTTACTTAGATGCACACAAAATCTTAGCTTATGAAGCATTATTCTCCTGAACTTTATGTTTGACTCAATGAATAAATACTTAAACTAATACATTGCTCTTAGATATAAAAATCTAAACTCTTTTAATAGCTTGAAATTTTTTTAAATATGATAAAATTTTTTGATTTAATTTTAAACCGTAGATAAGAAAATTAAAATATGAAGTTTCTATCATTAAAAGGTTTTCGTTAATATTTTCGGAAACCAAGTAACTTTAACTGTCTTACTACTGCATATTCTTTTCTCCTTCAATACAGTTTATTGATTTAAAAAGTTAAGTTTAAGATATATAATTATGTGATGTTTAATAATACAATGAAAACAGGAAATCGTAATTCCCATGTTTCGTATTTTAAATCATAGATTCTGAATTTGTGCGAAATGTTTAAGTGTTAAAAATTTTTCTTGCATAAATAATAAATACTAACTAATTTCATCAAGTTATATTTCAACATTTAAATTCTGGAATACATTTTAGTATTTCAGAACTTAAATATTGAAACAACAATATATTTTTTAAATTATTGCAGTATTTGTCGAACACTATAATAATATAATTTTAAAATTATTGCAATATTTGTCTTTTTAGTTGTTTACTCTAACACGAAATCACTTGTACAGTTTTATACATGTATGAATGTGCATATTTAATGTAACGTCAGTTTCCAGTGCAATTTTATTTAAGCTAAACTCGTCGAAGTGAAGGGCGATATGAATATTAAAAAAATAATTTCTCACAGGCATTAATGGCTGATAAGGCTCGTCATAGCGTCTTAAACTGCTAAATGAAATATGAGGTACAAGTGTTCGAAATAAATAAAATACAATGGGTATGATACACAGAGAATGTACAAAGGAACAAAGAAAATTAATGGTCTCCATAAAACACGATTTCTTGATGAACAACACGATAAACATATCAGTGATAAAATATCCTGGGGAATACGAAAACGTTTCCAGTTGTTCGTCAAACGGGGTATTCAAACATTTCGATGGCTGTAATACACACATATAGTTCACTTACAAAAATCTGAAAATATAAGGAAAATATATATAAATAAAATCACTTTTAATGTCATAAATATTTAAGCTTGCTAACAGATATGTTATTAAATAAAATGGTACAATTTACAAGGAATTCAAATTTGAAAAATTTTTAATTTGATATGCAAAATATAATGGTTGATGTTATATACTCAAAACAAATCAGATGAGTAAAAGTTAGCTGCTTAATAATTAATCCAGAAAATATTCACAAATATAAAATTTTTGAGCCTCTAAAACAAATTTTTTGATAAGATATAGTGCATTTCGTTCATCACTTTATATTCGTTGGTTTTACTGCTTCTGCGAAAATGCAAAATTAGAGAAATTAACAATCTACGCTTTTGAATCCTTAAACTGCTTGCACTTTAACTAATGTTACTACTTGTTTATTATTTACTTATATACAGGGTTAGTCATGAAAAACTTTCACGATATATGAACTCCTTGCCGCCTGTCCGCTGAACCAATCGAAATGAAATTTCAGATATTGTTACTGAAGGTATCTGCTGAAGATTGTGATGATTTAAAAAACAACAGAGCTCTCACAGTTACGATTACAATGAAAGCATTTCGCAATTTTCGAACGGCAACACACACTTTTTTCCTGTCCATTGAAAAGCCTAAAAGGATTTGGAATGACACACGTACTGACGAAAATTCCGGCGTAAAACATTTGCAAAGAACAGCATTGTAAATGACCGATGACAAGACAAAAACGGAAAAAAAAAAGGTATTGGAAATTACAAGTTTTCAACGTATTTCAAAATAGTCGCAAGTTCAAAAGAAAAAAAAAAAAAAAAAACTGCCTAACTCTGCAGTTTCGTGTCCAATCGCGATTATCTGACCTCACTCCGATAGATTTCTTGCTCTGGGGTTATCAGAAATCTAAAGTGTCCATATCATATCCACGATATTTGTCAGAATTTGAAAAATGCCATAAAACGTGAAGTTATTTACAGGTTCCTCTCGCGATGTTACTTTCGTCATTGTTGTTACAGTCTCCCGGACTCGATGCGTTATCGCCTGTGAAGTTGGGCACATTGAAAACTTGTAAATTCAATACAAGTTTTCTTGTGTTGTGAATAGGCCTTTAGACTGCAGTTCTTTGCAATGTTTTTCTCCGGCAATTTTCAGCATACGTGTATCGTACCAACGACATTTTTAGTTTTTGAATGCGGTGATCAATTTACGCAGGAAAAAAAGTGGGTGTTCACATTGGAAAATAATAACATATTTTCTCTGGAAACGTAATCATAAGAGCTCTGTTACTTTAAATCAGCACAATATCGAGCGCATACCTTCAAATAATAATATATGAAATTCCATTTCGATTGGTTGAGCGGATAGACCGGTAGGGTTTCATATAGCGGGAATTTTTTTTTTTTGACCGCTTTGTAATATTCATTTGAAAGCAACTGCTGTGGTAGCTGAATGAGAATTTCGTACCAGCCAGGAAAATCCATTTCTCAGTAAAGTCAATCGAACAGCATGGTTATAACTCATTGATTACCTATATTAAAAAGCCCTAGACTGTTTTTTGGAATTAAGCTCTATTTGAAGAGGAAAATAAATTTACTATTTTGGGCTGAATTAAAAGCAAATGGTGTGGCAAAATCTCAGTGCTGAACTTCAAATGAAGTTTACTTCTTCCAGTAAAACATGGTGGAGGTAGTCATATGATCTTCGACTATATAAGTGCTTGCGGCATTTAAATTATACTTTTTATTGAATTTAATTGGCCATTTTATTTATTTGAGAACAAAATTTGAAATACAGCTCTTTCACTTCTAAAGTAACTAAATTCCTTTTTCTTAAAATCTTTAGTTTAAGATAATCTACAAAAATTATCCAAATCATGGGATTACATAAATTAAAATAAATCAACTTTTTTTAGCACAATCCTTTATATCAGAATTTTTTCATGCATAAATTAAATACGAATCGGTTTCGCTTAGTAAATCCTCCACGAAGACATCCGTTCCCTTAGCCTGATAACCCTCTGGCGCTTTGTCTTAATTAACTAATCTAAACTAACGAATGTTTGTTTCAAGAGTAAAAATTATAATAAAGTGCATTATTTACCATTCCTGAGATTTCTGTACACAGGAAAATAACAAAAATCCAAAAATGAAGGTGCACTGAAGACATGAAAAAACGCATAATTTACAATAGGATGGCTGGAGTCTATAAAAAAACACATATATTATTAATTCATATAATAATTTGAGATGGGAAGTCACACAAGTAAATATACTAGTATTGGTAAAATTCCGAAAATAAACATATTACACTTCTAGAATTCGTCGTGTTAAATTCATGTATGAAAACACAGTACTAAACTTATTTACTTATTCCCTATTTACTTAAGTAATAAATGAATATTTTTACCATATGTTTACAGTCTGAAAATTAGAAAACGCAATTTAAGCGGCGAAAAGCTTATTATATATTTCCCAAAATATGTTACCACATTTTTTTTTTTCGCACTAGAGATGCTATAAGTCTCAAACCTCACTTTTTTGTTCGTATCTCTTTTCAACTTTTCCCACCAAATATTATCGCTATGTACTATTTTTAAAGAAATAATATAGCAAATATAATATATATATCTATCTATATATATATATGAGGTAATACAACTTAAAGGATATTGCATCAAATATTATGTGTATGTATTATTTTTAAAGGAATATTATTGCGAATATGAAAAAAATATGACAACATTTATCATTTTAAGGGGAATACTAAAAATATCCGATCTAAAATATTTTAACTTTTGCGCCACTTTTGTTGCCATTTGGGGAAGCGTAAGATATTGAAATTTTTTAAACATTTTAACCTGCTTATTACCGATTAACAAACCAAGCATTTTAAAGACAACGAACTCAGTTTTTATACCTTTTACTGATTGCAAGTTGGAACCATGAAATAACACTAGTTAGATCTATTCTTTTTGTGGTAACTATTTTAAGAATTGTTCGCGTTAGCTGCTAGTCATTTGAAAAGTGAAATGAGTAAAAAAGCTGATTCGACGCAAAAGTGAGATTCGAAATTAACAGAACTTTTGGGTTAAAAAATGCATCCCAACACTTAAACACTGTACCGATAATTCTAAAAATTACCTATTGTTTTAAATTTTCGTGATTTTGCTGTTGAAGTTTATGTGGCGTAAGTGTAAAAAAAGTTATGTTAAATAACAGAGTTAAATAGAGAAAAAAAATTAAGATAAACTGTAATTTTTTTTTTCTAGACTGATAAATTACGAGCTCAGCGAGAGCATTAAAAATCTGAACTAACCCTCTGGTGGGAAAACCAAAATCTGATTTCTTCCATATTTTTTTCTTTCAGATTTTTTTCCCTTGCTTCTTGTTTTACTCTAAATTCCCCGACTGCACAGTAGAGTAAATTTCCGTAGAAGTAGTTTGAGTGTTCACATCACGGTACTTGTTCATTTGCTCGGGAGAAACTCTACATTGCCTGTTATTAATATGAAGTTAATATTACTGTATTGCATTAGCTATTTACTAGTTCCAAGCAGCGTTTGGCCCGAGATGAATTCTCCGTTCATAATTCTGGGTTTATGAATAAAGAGTTTCTATATTTTTTGGTTATTTTTTCAGAGAAAGTATTTCTCATATAATGAAAAGTTATGAATATTTCAGAGAGGTTGAAAATTTCATATTTTCAATATGTTACATCAAAAATTCAATTTTATTTGCTCCGAAAAGCATAACAGCTTTTGAGTATAGAGAAATATGAAGCTATTCAGTACAGCATAATAAAAGATAGTTGATAGATAAAAGAGATAATCTAAATCTGCTGATTTAGAATTTATTTTAAAATTGCTTACTAGTTTTATTGCTTATTAATTAATAATATAATAGCTAATAAAAGAAACTATGTTATCTCCAAGCTTATAATAAAATTTACAATGCGACATAGTTATATAAATTTCTGAAATAATACAGAAATATATAGAAGATTCATTTAACGCAAATTTAGTTATTTTCCATCAATAAAATTTTGAGCTGCAATGGAGGAAAAAAGTATTTGAACAATACATATTTACACAATCATTTTATTGCAAAATTTATTAAATTAGATTTGTACATAACTAGTTCAAATTAGCTTATGTAATAAATAAAAAATAACTATCACGTAATCTGGTCACAACGTCTAGTGAGGGCAAAAAGATATTTGAAGAACCGATGAGAAAGGTTGAAACTGTATTTCAAATACTGAAACTAAAAGAAAAATATATGCTATTTATCCACTTAAAATCATGAATTAGCAAAAATTTTAAAACTTAGTTTATCAACTGTTTATTATGTGATAAGTAAATATAAATCAACTGGGAGTATCGAAGATAGAAAGAGAAGTCAGCAAAATTTCTTGCAGCAAGAGAAAGTAAAATGATTAATAGTAAGTAAAAAACAAATCCTTTATTATTAATGTAGAAGTATCTAATTTTATTGCATCTTATTCAGGTGTTTTAGTTACTCTTCGAACAGTAAACAATTGCCTATATAGATTCAGATATACAGTCAGGAGTGAATAAAGAAAATCTGAAGGTTTCAGATTTTAAATTACGTCCAAAAGCGCGTTTTTTAATATTTTGTGTGTTACCGTTATTTATTAAATATCATGTTCTGCACACTAAAACCATAAAATTCAATCCAAGAGTAATATCGCAAAATAATTTTAAATTGAGCATATATTTTGAATTTAGGAATACGCAGTCTCACGCGCTGGAGATAAAAAAAAAAATCGTACAAAGTTGCCATTGCTCGCTTTGAAGTCCTTAAGTTTGTTCATCAAAAATTCGTTAAATTTTAATAAAATATGAAAGCGATAATAAAACAAATTCCAAATTTGGGCTTCCAGATGCCCATATTCGCAGTATTACTTCATTCAAAATTTTATGGCTCTAGGTACCGTTGTTTTATTAAATCACGAGAAACATACATACATTTATGCAGATTCTTCATTACTTAAATTCTTCAAATATAATACAGGGCGATAATACTTGGTGGGAACATTTTGAAAGTGAAACGGACTTTCAGAGTTATTCGACGCAAAATCGCAAAACAAAAACAACAGTTCCTCAGAGACAAAGCCCCTTTGGACTGAAAAACCGTATATAAGTGAAACTAATCGTAATAAAAGGCTTCATTTTGCAAAAGAATATTTATAAATAAGCCTTTAGAATTTTGGAAAAAGAAACTATTTTACTTATGAAAGTAAATTTTTCTTGTTTGCATCCGATGCCAACAAAATAGTTTGGAGAGATATAAAGCGGCTCTAAATCCTAAAAATGTATATCCATCTGTAAAGCATGGTGATGGGAGTGTTATGGTATGAGGTAGTATGAGCTGAAATGGAACTGGTAATTTGACAATATTTCAGGACATTTTGAATGCGAGAAAATACGTAGAGATGATATATTTTGAAGCGTATCAAAATTAAGTAGTGAATATGACTTCGGGTTCCAAAACATGCAGCTAGGGTTACAAAAGAATTCCTCTTATATGAAGTTACCAAAAGACTGAACACTCTACTCCAATCACCTGATCTCAATCCGAATGAGAAATTGTGGTATTCTTTGGATCAAGAAGCTAAAAAACATAAGTTTTAAAATAAATTTTCTTTCAAAAATATTCTTTTGAAAACATAGGAATATATTCGTCAGATCTAACCGAAAAGTTAGCAGAATCAATAACAAGAAAATGGCAGGCTGTTATATAGACAACAACGAACTTTTTGTGAATTATTAAATTTCATTTTTTGTATTGGTTTCATTGAATTCTAAGTTATAATTGTTCAGTTCAAATACTTTTCCCCTTGGATATTTGCATATCTTGATACTTGTATGCTATGGGTGAAAACAAACACTTTATATTTTTATTACGGAAGTTAATAAGCAATTTTTATTACGGAAGTTAATTTATATTTTTATTACGGAAGATAATAATAATAATTGCATGAATTTTTATTGTTCAAATATTTTTCCCTCCACTGTAGTTTTTGAAAGTGTAATTTACAGATTCCAAAGAAATGAAATAAAATTTTATAATACACTTTAATTAAGGAAAGGCAAATACGTATCATTGTGATTTAGGGGGCTAAATATATTTCGAATCATCAGTCAGGTTCTGTCTGTTGACTTCTAATTAATGGAAAAGAGTATCCTTTTGAGCTAATGCGACTCCATCAAAATATTACGCTGTGCGGTAGCTTTAATACCAATAATGGTTTAATTTCGATAATGTAGCTGTATTTAAAGAGATCTAGGAGCACTGATTATAAAAGTAAAATATATTTTAACGTTTAGAATAATAATAATTACAATGTATACATAAATAAAATTTTATATTAAGTCAATTGAAAATGAAAATAAAAATATATAATTTAATAGTGATATTAATATTTGGTGGTGAAAATAATATATATTATGTAATATATATATATATAATGTACATATAATTATGATCATATATAACTTATGAAGAAAATGAGAATAATGTAAACCTTCTCTAAGCCTGTCATCCACGGTTCCAGGTTATCTTGATCTTCTGTCTTACAAAAATAATGCCCACCAGCGGTCGAGCGGTAAAGTCGCTGAAAACTGGTAGTTCGGTCCGAGGTTCGAATCCCGTGAAATAAAATTTTATATTAAGTCAATTGAAAATGAAAATATCCCCATGCGTAACGTGTATACGAGTCAGTTTTCTTTAGAAAGTCCTCCACGAATGCATCCTTCCCCTTAGGCAGATAGCCCTAATGTGCTTTGCCATAATTAAATACACCACTACACTTACAAAAATAATATTCAGTGTAAATTTTTATTTAAATTCTCAGAAGTTCTAGTCATTTTAAGAAGTAAACCTTTTAGGGGATCATTCGCGAAGATAGTTTGTGAACATTTAAATGCTTTTAAAGCAATTAAGAGTTTAGTTTAAGATAATTAGGAGTTAATTCGAACAATTGTAAGATAATAATTAATTTCATATTTCTAAAAGCTTAAATTTTAGCATCAGATTTAAAATAATAAATCTTCTAAGAATAATAGTGTAGTTTCTAAGTTTTATCTTCAATGTTGCATTTGAATCAACAACATTTTTATCTTGGGATTTTTCTAATTACAATTTCCCTGCTAATTTAAATATTGGTTTAACATTTTAAAA